TAATAATAATAATAATAATAATAATAATATAATAATAATAATAATAATAATAATAATAATAATAATAATAATAATAATGATAATAATAATAATAATAATAATAATAATAATAATACTGTAATAGTATAACCTACAAATTCATAATATGAGGCTAAACAATTTGTGTCATGAAAGTAAAAGTGGGGAAAATAATAATAATAAATAACACTTTAAAATAACGAAATAATTCCTCATGGATGTGTAAAAAAAAAAAAAAACGATTCAGAAAATTATAAACTGCATGCTGCCCGCGCCCGGTGGCGACGCTTCAGTCTTGGCATTGATTTTTGTTCCTTTGCCGTTTTGGTTTATGCCTATTGCCGTTTTGGTATTGACATTGTCGTTTTGCTCTGTTGCTGTTTTGGTACTTATCATTGCCGTTTTGGTTTTTTGCCATTTTGTCCAGAAACCGTATTGTTTGTAGGCTAGTACGCAGCACTGTCCTGGTGTGTGACTCTCAGGCTTCAAATGAGTGCCAATAAAATTCTCAGCACGAGACACGTGTCACGCCCTCGCCTGTGGTGATTTAAATGCGAAGTGAAATCTCGAAAAGATTACCAAAAATTTCAGAATGTTAGGGGGAAAAACATTTTCTTTAGGCATCATAAGACGTCTTATACTTCACTGAAAATCATCAAGATCAGGGAATAGCCCAAAATCCAGGATTTTTTTTATACGGGATAGGGGGATTACTAACAATTTCAAATGGTTTAAACACGTCAGTATGGGAGTATTAGTAATATGGTCCCCACAAACTAAATTTTTAGACCGGGTCTTAGGCCAAATGTAACATTTGGAAACACATAAGAAATGGCGCAACAAAGTCCGGCCATTATGCAATAGAGAAGTCCTATAGGATTACATAAACGAACCTGTTTAAATCTGATAATAATGTTAAACAAACAACAAACAAAAAATGTTTTTGTTCTCATTTGTAAAGGCTATTAACGTACGTCTAGCTATATACAAAACCATCTGTGAATTCAGTACAATAGAGTTTTATCGATTATGCACGATATTGGTAATGGTTTTAATACTTACTTCATTTCAGTACACAATGATGTTAATGTTGGGTTCAATTACAGGGATCCACTTGTTGGTGCACTTCCAATTCCGAAATTCTTGATGCAATTTTCACTCCGGTTGGAATTTAATTTCTGCTAAATTATTAAAACCAACTACTACGGTAGTTCATTATGGAAACAGTAAAACAACTGCTAGTTCTCTGTGGAAACGTTTTTGTACGTCTTTATCTGGCAGTTTTCCCGGGGACTGGAAGTGTGTAAACACCAGGCCCGTTTACAAATCCAGTGACAAGGCTAGGATGTACGTCTAGACTACCTGATGGACACAACAATGATGGTCTATGAAAGTTTTCTTTAAGAAGTAAGTAAAAGTTAATTCCAATATGGTACATAAAACCAATTATAAACATGAAAGTGTACAATGATTAATAATAATAATAATAATAATAATAATAACAATATTATTATTATTATTAATAATAATAATAATAATAATAATAATAATAATAATAATAATAATAATAATAATAATAGTATAACCTATAAATTCAATAATAAAATGATTGGAGAAATCACAATATAAAAGCAGTAAACATTTAAATAATTAAACTTTAAAATACAGACAAAAAGAGGCTAAACAATTTATGTCATACGTGTAGAAAAGCGCGAAAGAAAAAAAAACACTTTAAAGAATAACAACATTAATAATAATGAAAATAATTAATACTAATATAACAAAAAGGTACAACAAATAAAATTAACAGACCATTCTGATTCAATAATTATTTTGGTATATCATCAGTTCAGTTTATTTCTCATCATCAAAACATTGTACAAAACAGAACAAATTCGCAGGACAAAAAAATGTTACAATAAAAGATGATGCAAGGATGGTCTATGAACGTTTTCTTTAAGAAGTAAAAGTTAATTCCAATATGGTACATAAAACCAATTATAAACATGAAAGTGTACAATGATTAATTATGATAATAATAATAATAATAATAATAATAATAATAATAATAATAATAATAATAATAATAATAATAATAATATAACCTACAAATTCAATAATAAAATGATTGGGGGAATCACAATATAAAAGCAGTAAACATTTAAATAATTAAAACTTTAAAATACAGACAAAAAGAGGCTAAACAATTTATGTCATACAAGTAGAAAAGCGCGAAAGAAAAAAAAAACACTTTAAAGAATAACAACATTAATAATAATGAAAATAATAATAATAATAATAATAATGAAAATAATAATAATAATAATAATAATAATAATAATAATAATAATAATAATAATAATAATAATAATAATAATAATAATAATAATAATAATAATAATAATAATAATAATAATAACAAAAACAACAACAATACAACATACAAATTCAATAGTAAGATTGGGGAACACAATATAATATATACTGTACAAAATTACTAAATTGTATATTTTAAAAATTGCAATTTAAAAATGTTCGTTATTTTGTTTGTTTTTGTAATTTATGTGCTATAGTTTAGTCCTTCACTTTTTTTTATTTATTAGTTTAATTATAACAGGTCATTTTTTAATAGCTAATGAACGTATCCACTTAATTAATCTTATTTATTTCTGTTATATTACTACAGTAAGTTAAATATAACTGAATGATTTAGTAACATTTTAGTTTTGTTCAAGGTCTTTATTCATAAAAATTATAAAAATACAAACAGACAGCCAAAAGGCTGTGCTTTTTTTATCTGGAATTTACACATACAGTAAGGTAAAATATAACCAAGATCCCATAACTCACTTGACAGTTTAGCCTGTTTGAAAACAAAAAAGTATTTGTTTAAAAAACGCAAATTAGGCCTATTGCTTGATTAAATTATTTTATTTAAAATAACAAACGAATATTACGTTGATTGATTGAATTAGGGCCTATATATTTTTTTTAAATGATTTGAATTACTGATTTTTTTTTTGTAATGCAAAGGGTTGCAATTAAAAATAATGTTAATAAAAGTAGAACTATTTCATCAATTATAAACCAAGTACAATTTGATGTAAACTTACTGCGAACTTTCGTTGATGTTATCAACATGACTTTGTCAGGCTATAATAATGTTATTTATTACTAATTTTTTTCAATCTACAGCATTTGACTATTTCCTTAATTTTTATATCATTCATGTAAAAAATTATAGGCCCTATACATGGAAAATTATTCGACACAGATTTTTTTTTTAAACTAAATTATTTTAGTTTTAAAAAATGCATGATTTATGTTGATTTATTGATTCAATTTCTGTAATTTTGCAGCATTTAAATAGGTAGAAATATTTTTTAGTAAATTTTAACGGGGGTGGGGGAAAGCATTTTTACCGTACACCGCACCAAGGCCGCGGCGAGGGGTGAAGTCTGCTGGTCGTCAGGATCTTTTCAGTATTTTAGAGGTCAAACACTCGATTTCATATCAACAAATGCAATACAAATGCAATGATTTTTTTATTGACAATACAAATGCAATGATTTATTATTGAAGACAACATTCAAACAATTCGATCAAGTTTGTTTTTAAAAGAGGGGTTGTTGGCTACATTTGATGATCAACGGTTAGCATTTCGTTCTCTACCTATCCCACTTCTTGCTTTGTACCTGTTCCATCAAAATATGCCAGAATAATATAGCGTTATCATCTACCTCTGGCTTAAGTCTATTCACATCAAATTCACAAATACAATGATCTTTCATAATCAATACAAGTGCTACTGGGGAAGTAACTTTTCACAGCACCGAATTCTTTTGTTCTGTCAATTATTCTTACGGTACAACGAATGTGTTTCTTATTTTGTATTGTGTTTGTTGATACACCATGTCTCATCAAAATAGCATGTAATTAGGAGGTAAGGTATTATGGTAGGGTTGCTAAGCCCCACAAACCTCCAAAAAAACACACTGTAGAAAACCAAACCATGTAATTGCGATTGACTCACTTGATATATCAATAAGAAAATTAAATAAATTCATAGGAACCTATTTTTTGGTTAAAATGCTGATTTTTTAATATTTTTTTTTTGTGAAAAATACCTGAAAATACACCGCAAACCTCCAAAAACACACCTGAACACCATCCAAACCCTTTATTAATGATTGTAGGACTCTCTTTTTATCTCATTAAAAAAATGATGTTTATAACAACTTATTTTTGCGGGGTTTAGCAATATCCAGTTTGAAGTTAAAAATTTCTGGAAATTGTGATTCCGCTTCCATGAAATTGGCCACAACTCAATTATTTCAGTATTAACAAATGCATGATTTATGTTGATTTATTGATTAATCAACATTTAAATGGAAAATAAAATTAAAATTAAAAAATGTTATTCATGACATATTTTTTTATCTATACAGTATGTAATTCCTGCAAAAAGTAAAATATAAATGGCAATTCTTATTTGATGTTAGATTATTTTTTAAAACTAAATTATTTCAGTTTAAAAAATATACATATAATGATTTTTTTTAAATCAGTTCTGATACGGAATTTTATCATTGGGGCCATTTTTACCTACCTGTCATTTGGGGCCATTTTTACTGGTGACATTTCTACCGGTGCCATTCTTACCGGGGCCATTTTTTCCTACATTCGTAGCCAATCAAAACTACAACTACAAACGCGGCCCTAGAATAATACTGTACCAATGGTCCAATGATCTGCTACGTGGAATGAATAGTACAAAGGAATACCGGTAATTGCTGACCACCTGGCTGAAGGTTAATATTGCCAAATGGAGAAGGTAATTAACTAGGAATGTGATACAGAAAAATGGCTATAAGCAGGCTATTGACTTTAAACATAATTAGGGTATATCTGCTGCTACTTCATGGAGGTGTAATTATGTTTGTAGTTTACAATTTAAAGTTCGGATTTTCGCATACTCATGTGATACATTCTAATAATATAAATGTGTTTCAAAATGTGACAAGAACACCCGGAACGGTTGCAAGAGAGAGAAATACGAAACACATTCTGATACCGTGAGTTTTTATTTCCAAACTTATTTTTAGTTATTCACCTAGGACACTCAGGTCAAGTACCGAGCAGAAAATATGGATCAAGATCCTTTGCTGTTGTTGCTCTTGCTCTGTGGAATGACCTTCCATTTTAATTCGTAAAGAGAAATCTCTTGATGCCTTAAAAAAACAACTGAAGTGTCACTCACCTTTTCTCAGAGAATTGAGCTATACACCGTTAGCTAGCGCTTTGCGACTTTATGTATAGAGCGCTTTAAATATGCTTTATTATTATTATTATTATTATTATTATTATTATTATTATTATTATTATTATTATTATTATTATTATTATTATTATTATTATTATTATTATTATATCTTGGACACATTATAAACAATGAGCTTAAAGAGGATACAGATATTATGCGACAGTATCGATGCTTAAGTGTAAGAGCTAATTCACTTGCTAGAAAATTAAGTAAATGTTCTGATAAGGTGAAATGCATGTTGTTTAAATCCTCTGCATAAATATGAATCATTATGGTTGAAGAAATTGCAAGTTTGTTATAATAACGCATTACGTATGATACTTAAATTACCACGCCACAATAGTGCCTCAGCCATGTTGTTTACTGTGGTTTATTATCCTTTATGGAAAACCTCATAAAATTTGACCCTAGATAACCAGCAATTTTTTTTTTCGGGTTCTTTGTGCAATCAATTAATAATGTAATTTAACATCCTAATTTTTCTACAATGTAAATTTTATTGTATATAATGTATTTATTTGATATTTCTAATGTGTTAATTTGCATGTATTTTATTAACTTTATAATTCTGTATTTTTATATTGATGTTTTGTTTTTTTATACTGTAATTGTGTAATTTTTGAGCAATGACTTTCTCTAAATTGTAATTTCATTTTTGGACAATAAATTTGAATTTGGATTTGAATTTGAATAATTATACATATCTATATATCAGATTATATGCTCTAATCTATAGGCTCTAATGAAGAATGTTGTCCTATGATCAACGGATATCGTACATCTGACTTAATTACATTAAAATATCCATCAAATTCTTTATAAATTTACTTACAGTTTACTTCTCTAAAATTGTAGGGACTTAATTATGGTCTTAAATGCCTGAAAATGCTTCTATTTACCTTAACTAAAAATTTTGTTTTAGAATACTGAAAATGCTTATTTTGATCTTTGACCTTAGTAATCTAAGATTCCATATTTATTTTATTGAATCATTTATTTATGCGTGAACTCCAATAACAGGGAGCATAAAATACAATACAATATAAAAACATGAAAAACATTAAAAAATATCTGACCTTTAATATTATTTTTGTTTTATTAACATAAAAAAAAAATCACCCCCTCCCTCATCACTTTTGGGGAAATTACTTGAACAACTCAGGATTTCTTGCAAATATGTTTACTGGTACAACTAAAACATCTTCTTTTATTACAAATTTGATTCCATGCTTATGACTTTTTATATATTTGTCCTTCCATTGATTTACTTGCGAACATCGGTTAAATGGGGGCAGGGTTAGCAAAAAAAAAAAACCTCCCTCCCTCATCAGTTTCTATTCTTTGATAGGGTGATAAACTAATATTTTTTTTATGGGGCCTAATCTATATGATAAGCTTGCAGCTGTAATATCTTGATTGATTGGTAAGGTGGAGACGCCACCTTAAGTGTGCGATTAATAACATGTAATTAATAAAAAATTTTCTCTTTCATTATTATATTATGACATTTTAAACAAAAATATCAAATTACATTTATTCTTATACTCTTTTGAGAAACATTTGTTTGAATAAAACCTTATGGACAGGTATGCTTTCCCTCACTTCATTTTACTATAATATATTTTTCTAGAACATCTTCAAATTGTATCTCTTTTAAAATTTTCTGCACTCGAGATAGGTCTGGCGGCACAGCTGACTCATGGTATTTCAAATCAATATTATTCTAACTGCCAACAATACGAAATCAGTCGGTCGGTCGGCAAATTTATTTCATTCAGTGGCATTCAGAGGATCATGTCACTATCAGTAATGTATTTTGGTTGGTAAATGTAATGCAACTATTATAATCTATGGCTTGGGTATCGCATGCATTAATTAAAAGCTTGAAATGTAGCATAAAATACCACACAGCTATTTTGGGCTCATTCCACAAAAAGATCTTGGCCTGGTCTCGGTCGGGACTGGCCAACCCGTATGTTTTGTTGGTCCTTATCGTTTATATAGAAACATAAATGTAATCACATAATTTACTCTGCTTACAATGTAATAAAATAGTCATTAATCTCTCCCTTTTGTGTCCAATTAGGCTTATTTCTCAAGTAAAAAATGTTTCAAATTGGCCTTCTGTAGAAGCTGCGAAAAACAAAAGCCTTGTAGAAAAATATTCCACTCATATGAAACCAGCTGCATTTTTGAAGTTCAGGTAAGACATAAAGATTTAATGCTATGTCCAGATTATGAAAATTTCTTTGGCAAAACACTATTGAATGCCCATATAATTATAGTCATAATGTGCCTCTGTATGGTCATGATGTGATGTCATCATGACCAAATTTAGGCATGTCGCATATTTTTGTCAAATAAAATTCGATAGTCTCGACAGCGCTTAAGACAACAGTAATAATCCTATTACTGTTGAACTGTTATTTCAAATATTTGAAATTGGAAATTTTAGCTGGCTCCTGGGGGTTTGCTGTCACTCGCAGTGCAGCGCCAGACCCTTATCCCGCCTCTTTTTCGAGGAGACAAACTATCAGCCAGAAGAAACAGGAACATATACCTCTCCGCCAAACGCTTAGTATTTGCAATACTATCAATATTATACTTTATTATCATTAATATTAGTATTAATATTATTATAAATTTTATCAGTAAGAGCAACAGTAGCATGCAGCAGCAGCATGAAGATAGTAGCAACACAGCAGCAGCTAATTGCCATTATCTCATTCCACTTGTTCTGGTGATTTGGTCACTGTCTGTTAAATGAACTTTACTATATTTAACTCAACAGGAATCAAGTCCATAAATATAAAACATTTAACGCTGATACATCTATACTACTACACGAGGGTGAGATAACGAGTCACATGTTTGAAGATTGGAAAGGAAAAAAAGTCCGACCTAAACTCTCTCCCCGTTTGCCAGCACTCGGATCATGTGCCATCGTTGGAAATTCAGGCGTTTTACTAGATAGTAAATGTGGACGTGAAATTGACGAACATGAGTTCGTCATCAGAAACAACATGGCACCAACCACTGGATTCGAGAATGATGTCGGGAAAAAAACCAGTTTGGTTTCAGTGAATGGTGCATTAGTTGTTCGTATGACAAACTGTCTAAAGAATAAGACATGCGAACCTGAACTGAAGAAGAAATTGGAAGATATTGAAGAAGGTGCAATTTTATGGTACTCAAAAGTGTTCAGTCCCAATGCTCGCCAGAAACAATATTATGCGCTCTCAAAATACATAAGAAATAACTCATTGCCTCTCCGTATCGCTTTCCCTGCCAATACCTTAACAACAACATCGTAAGTATGTTTATGTTCAAAAGAAACAATAACAATAATAGGTATACTGTAGGCATATTCTCTCATCCTTTCATATTTCTCTCCCAAAGAGAAAATATTGAACCGAAGGACCAACAGAAAAGGACCAAGGATACGCGCTTGTCCCACTTGTTTAAATGAACGTATTTACGTAGGTAGACTGTCGTTTTATGGGAACGGTAAATGAGATACAGCTTTTTGAGTATTTCAGAACTGGGAGAGAAGGGACGTAACTACTCCTTTTCCCCTTTGTTTAAATATTTAAAAATCTGCATCTCATTAACAGTTCTTGAGTTTTTCATCAAATATGCTTTTTTGTGTGTCTTAGAAAAATCCTGGCCTTAAGCTTATATTACTTTAGACGATATGTAATTAAAGTATTGTATTTCCGGAATTTTAAAATAGGGTTAAATCAAGATGATATGAGGACTATTCTCTATAAACTATCTTTTTTCTTCTTAGATTCTGGAAAGTCAAGCATGCTTCATCGGGGTTAATGATGCTTTCAATAGGGGCTACATTTTGTAGAAACATTACACTCTATGGATTTTATCCATTTCAGAAATCTGCAAGTGGACGTCAACTATCCTATCATTACTACGATAATGCCTCATTCAAAAATACTCATGATATGATAGGGGAACATAAAAAATTACAAGGGCTTAATAAGGCAGGCGTACTTCGACTAATTACTGATAAGTGCAATTATACATAGGTGTATTACAGACGACGTAAATGTGTTTAAAATACAGAATTTCTGAACTTACATTTTTGAATTACGTAAACTTAGCGATTGTAAGCCTACTCTTTAATTATTCAGTGGCTTATCCGATGATTCTGAATTTCATTCTTGGTTTTTCTCTTATCAACATGTGGAAGATAGACCTATTATTACACTTGATGTATTTATTGCACATTCAAAACATCAAAAAATCACACAACAGCAGTCAAACAAAAATTTACTGAAAATGTTATATTTACAAGCAAATTTTAAAATTGCTGAAAATTAATCAAATTTACGCAAAAAAATGTCAAAATTTCCAATGTAAAAAAATTACATTTACAAAAAGATTATAGTTGCTAATAATTAAATAATTTCTTCTTCTTCTTCTTCTTCTTCTTCTTCTTCTTCTTCTTCTTCTTCTTCTTCTTCTTCTTCTTCTTCTTCTTCTTCTTCTTCTTCTTCTATGTACCATGTCCCTACAGGACGTCGGCGATCATGGTTTTCCACAACACTCTGTCTTTTGTTTTTATTATTATTATTATTTATATTTACAAGAAAAAAATCATAATTCCAATTAAAGTCACATGAAACCAGTAGCGGCGCCAGGATTTCCCTAAGGGGGTAGGGGGTCCAACTATCTTTTTTCTTCTTAGATTCTGGAAAGTCTAGCATGCTTCATGGCTTTTCTCAAAACAATTGAAAGCTATTAGGCTTATTAACTTTCCGTTGGAGGGCAGACACACAAATACAATACAGATTCTTTCATATGTAATGATATTTGAAAGTCAAGGAAGGATAGAGTCATTCCATATGGTTCCAACACACTTTTTTGCCCGACCCCCTTGAAATCGCCCAATATTTTGCCTCTTGGGGGTTCTACCTGAGATAACCCCACAGTGAAATTTTTGGCTCGGCGCCAGCATTTTCTGATGAGTTAGAGCAATTTGAAATTTTCATGAGATTTGGCTAAAAAAACTCACCTTCTGACAGACAATTGCTGATCTCTCTTGAAACTCAACGTATTGGAGAAATTCTGGTAGCGTAGGATAGAAAAGAACATTCTCTTTCCAATGATATGTAACTCAGTGATATCCTGACTAGTGAGAATTATATAGGTCAAGTCACGTGACGTTGACCTTTGACCCAAAATATCACAAAAGTATATATCTCGATGTTTGGGAAATTCACACCTCAGTTAGGACACTTAGCCCACATGATGCCCCTAAAGTTTCATTGTGGGCAAATGAAATATATTAGCTCTAGACTACATTTTGTGCCTAGGTATTGATAGTTTCACTGAGTTTCTAGGAAATCTGCTGATTGATTCTATGAAACTGGAACCATAGTGAAAATCAGGGCCCCCGTGACCATTTTTCTGAGACCAAGTTTTCACTGCTGATTTAGCATCACTAGGGTATAAATAAGAAATTGAGCGAGGGAGAACCTCCAGAAAAAGGGCGGAACATATTTTTTTGGCGGCCATTTTCAAAATGGCCGCCAAAATTATTATATTGGCTCATAACTTCACTTATATCCAATGAAAAAGGGCAAATCCGGTGTCTAACTATATTATGTTATTAGGGTCACTGAATCCAATGAGACAGGTTTCGAAAACTATCATTACCTAGGCACAAAATGTAGTCTAGAGCATATATATTTCATTTGCCCACAATGAAACTTTAGGGGCATCATGTGGGCTAAGTGTCCTAACTGAGGTGTGAATTTCCCGAAAATCGAGATATATACTTTGTGATATATAATTCTCACTAGTCCAGACATCATCGAAGTGCATATCATTGGAAAGAGAATCTTCTTCTCTATCCAACGGTACATTTCTCCAATACGTTGAGTTTCAAGAGAGATCAGCAGTTGTCTGTCAGAAGGTGAGTTTTTTAGCCAAATCTCATGAAAATTTCAAATTGCTCTAACTCATCAGAAAATGCTGGCGCCGAGCCAAAAATTTCACTGTGGGGTTATCTCAGGTAGAACCCCCAACAGGCAAACTTCAAGGGGGTCGGGCAAAAAAGTGTGTTGGAACCATACCGTATGGAATGACTCTATAGGTATTTGGAAAATCATAGATGATATTACAGGAAAAGTTTGGGATACACTAATAACTAATCTCTTTCTGGTCAACAAGAGGTGTTTAAAAAGGCTGTGTTTTGTCTCCTGTTTCGTTCAACATATTCATCATCGTAAAAGTGGATTGGATGTAAGGATCGATGGTGTTTGGATGGGGAAATGCTATGGGCAGACGATGTTGTACTAATTGCAGATAACGAACGTGAAATGACATAGGTGAATAGATATTGCAAGTAAGCTTACAAAACAAAATTGGAAATTGGATTACAATTATCAAAAATCCAATGATGGTATTGATATTGATAGACAAAAAATGGAATAGGTGATAAGTTCATAACATAATAATAATAATAATAATAATAATAATAATAATAATAATAATAATAATAATAATAATAATAATAATAATAATAATAATAAGTTCATAATAGTTTTGTTATGAACGTATCATAACAAAAGTAGATAATAGGGAGCCTTCGATTTGTTACACGACGCTGGAACGGAATCACTCATGAGTGACCGTCCTACCTGGCATCCTACCCCCTAAATCCGCCACTGTTTTGAGAGAAAACATTATCCCAATGTTCTGTATTCTATCAACATTTTGATAGACCATTTTATCGGATTTATTTTGAAGCAGCGCTGTCAACGTCTCAAAACTCACTGGGGGACTTATAGCGACGTGTTCTTGTTAGCTAACAGACCTACAAATTCTTTCCAGGGATCACTCAAAATGAATACCTCTCTAAAATATGTAAATATGCATCAGCACATTGGTGTTGATTTAAATGCTGTACGATTTCAATTGACTCCTTTCATTTCATTTCATTTATTTCGTCTAATTTGAACACACAAAACAGTTTCAAACTCGGGAAGACAGGATAACCAAGAGTATACTAAAATACTGTCAAGTGGCTCAAACTTCTATCAACAAAAGTCACTCGCTAACCCTGTGCTATATTCATTAGATTAATCATTTGTTCACTGTACACGGTAATGCAAAAAATAAATTTTCGGGTTTATAACGGCTACTGCTCAAGGAGTGAATTTAGAAAACTTAACAAAAAAAATTATATTCGTCTTAAATCCATAAATCCCAGGCCATGTCTTTTAAAAATACAGAAATGTGATATTGTATGGTTCAGTTTGGTTGTTATCCTTTTTCAAGCATTTATAATAATAATAATAATAATATTAATAATAATGATGATCTTGACGATGGTGATTATAATGGATAATAATATTAATATATTAAAAATTGTGCCGAAGGCGAAAAGGAAAGTTGTGATTTGTCGATCATAATTATTTTAGTAGTTGAAGCCTAGTATATTTGGGCCCAAGTTGTCCTGGATATTAAGTAGATCTCTATGGTTGCCGAAAATCCCGGATAAAAAATCATGAGAAATTTTTTGGCGCTTCATTTTGACTATAATATGGTGATGTGACAACGATCATAAATTTTACTATTTAAAAGTGTCATTTCCGGCGATCTAGAGGTACTATTTCCTCAAATTTTCTCACCTCAGCCCCAACCATGGTGGGCTAAGGTGGTTGTAAAGTACGTACGTTAAAGACAACGTTTTTAAGCTTTATTTTCTATGGTACATCACACATCTCTATCTCTATGATTGCCGAAAATCTGTGATAAAAAATCATGAAAAAATGTGTTTGCGCTTTATTTTGACTATTATAATGGTGATATGATGATGATGAATTTTGTGTCACTTTCTGGCCATCTAGAGGTAATATTTTCTGACTATTGACTATTTTTGATAAAGAATGTTTTGAGCAGGGAGCAGTAGATTTAAGGTCCCCCTCCTAATTTTTTTAATGGGAAAAAAAGAAAATTATTTTTAAATTTCAAGCCTGAGAGTGTAATTTCCGGCAATCTGAGGTGCCCTAATCATAAATTTTCTTGCCTCAGCCCCAACCATGGTGGGTGGACCCTCTGTCTGTGAAAGTCCCTTTCTGGGTCGCCTTTCTTTTGAATTTCTGGATTCGCCACTATTGAGTTATTATAATTATTGTAAGGCTTACTAATATTAGGCCTATTTATGATGAGTCTATTGAAAAACATCTAGATGTGTATAAGAGACAGGATAAGTGCAATTATACATAGGTGTATTACAGACTACGTAAATGTGTTTAAAATACAGAATTTCTGAACTTACATTTTTGAATTACGTAAACTTGGCGATTGTAAGCCTACTCTTTAATTATTCAGTGGCTTATCCGATGATTCTGAATTTCATTCTTGGTTTTTCTCTTATCAACATGTGGAAGGTAGACCTATTTTTACACTTGATGTATTTATTGCACATTCAAAACATCAAAAAATCACACAACAGCAGTCAAACAAAAATTTACTGAAAATGTTATATTTACAAGCAAATTTTAAAATTGCTAAAAATTAATCAAATTTACGCAAAAATGTCAAAATTTCCAATGTAAAAAAATTACATTTACAAAAAGATTATAGTTGCTAATAATTAAATAATTTCTTCTTCTTCTTCTTGTTCTTCTTCTTCTTCTTCTTCTTGTTCTTCTTGTTCTTCTTCTTCTTCTTCTTCTTCTTCTTCTTCTTCTTCTTCTTCTATGTACCATGTCCCTACAGGACGTCGGCGATCATGGTTTTCCACAACACTTTGTCTTTTGTTTTTATTATTATTATTATTTATATTTACAAGAAAAAAATCATAATTCCAATTAAAGTCACATGAAAGCAGTAGCGGCGTCAGGATTTCCCCAAGGGGGTAGGGGTCCAACTATCTTTTTTCTTCTTAAATTCTGGAAAGTCTAGCATTCTTCATGGCTTTTCTCAAAACAATTGAAAGCTATTAGGCCTATTAACTTTCCGTTGGAGGGCAGACACACAAATACAATACAGATTCTTTCATATGCAATGATATTTGAAAGTCAAGGAAGAATAGAGTCATTCCATATGGTCCAGATATCATCGAGATGCATATCATTGGAAAGAGAATCTTCTTCTCTATCAACGGTACCAACATTTCTCCAATACGTTGAGTTTCAAGAGAGATATCAGCAGTTGTCTGTCAGAAGGTGAGTTTTTTAGCCAAATCTTATGAAAATTTCAAATTGCTCTAACTCATTAGAAAATGTTGGCGCGGAGCCAAAAATTTCACCGTG